TGAGCCACGTTAAATTCTTTGTTTTCTCTTTTATCCAATTATTTCGTGTTTTGTGTTTCCGCTGCGTTTGGTTGATTTGGGTGGGAAAGTTGATTTTTTCCCAACAGGGGGGGGGGGGGTTCGGTGAGGACAAGATAACCATATGCATCTTATTATCCAAAACTGCTTGGCTAGGGGAAAGAACTTATTTTGCGTATTCACGAACTCTGAAGCTCCTTCACGATCCTGGATCTTTATAGCATAATCTAACCAGTTTGCATGAAAAAGTTTTATAAATCAATAATTAATAATTTAATAAAGCTTCTTACTTGGGAATGAACTGTTATCTGAAAAACACGTGCCACATCTGTGATATCCAAAGCTGTTGTTGCAAACTTTATTATGTCAGCTCCAGCAGCTTGAATTCTTGTAATCAGGTTTCCGAGGTCCTTAACCGGTGGAGTGTTATCATAGTTGTGAGAAGAAATAATGACTTTGCATTTTCCAGGCTTATTTCCATGCAAAAAATCGTTGAACTCATGTGCAGCCTTCACAAAATAGCTTCACTATAAGATTGTGTTGAGCTGCTCTCAATAGAATATAAGCACAAAGATTTAAAAGACATCTGAAATCACATACAGCATAATGTTGCAAACACTGCATGCAATTTTCTAGCTTTTTGTTAGATACAACAAATTTTTACGGGACAACAAATGCCATAGGTTCTAAGAAATTGCTCCGTGCTCAGTTTCTTGTTGAAGTTGACAATTCTCACTAAAACAAATAGTTATGTTCCCAATGAGGAGTGATGAGAGCAAGTTGAACACCGATTCTTTGTATTTTTGCTTTAATCATGAATGAGCTTAGAGACATCCAACGTCAGTCTCTTAACCAACACAGCTCGAAGTTTATTGAGAATAGAACTTGTCTTGTAGTGTTGAACTTTATCTAAAAGAATTAATTGCACTACTAATAATTACAATTCAGACATCGTTAATATGAATGAAAAGGCACCTTAAGCTCAATGTCAATGTGATCAGCTCCCAACTCCATGGCTAGTCGAAGTGCCTCGAAACGACTTTTTTCATCACCAGCATATTGACCACCTTCCCATAATGGTCTAGCAAAAACATAAGATCAGAAGTTTCCATAAAATGAATAATTTCAGTGGTTTATGTATAAGATATCAATATACAAGTCTCTGATAATGGTTCGCAACTGTTATAGTCAGCATGAGAACTAATATAAGTAAGCCTTTACAAAGCAAAAAGCGGTCATAAAAGGCACCCAAATTTCACACTTTATAATGAAAAGGAATGAAAGATGTTAAGTAATTATAAACGGTGCAGTGTTAAGCAAAAATAACAAACCATCACTGTCCTCTTTTTTATGTGAGGCTAAGACAGATTCAAATTTTAGAAAAAGCTTAGTCCTAAATCTATTTTTTTGAAGGATCAAGGTAGTAATTTCTGTGTTCCATTATGCTTAAAAATTTGGAATACTCGTAGAACACCACAAATGCAGTATACCCCAGTGACAACAAATTTGAAGTAACGTATAAAGGATAACTAGATTGATACTTACAACAATATCAAAGTATTGATCTCTATGATAGTTAGACAGACATCTGTACAATTTATACCAGATAAAATGAAGATTTATATAATCTAGACATATAATTTTTAGAATGTGTCAGTTTGCTTCCACATTTGTTCTAAGAAGAAAAAGAAGGTGCATTCCCCTATTGTTTTAATTTTCTGAAAGGTTATTATCTTGGTTTCATATATAAATTTCGATAGAATTTTTGAAGACTTTCCTTCCTTAGAAAGTAAAAGTTTAACATTTAACAAATGCAAATCCATTTTTAATGGTCAACATCCGCAAAATTCTTGAAATTTAACTTTCAATCAGAGTTCAAATTTGTAGACAATGGACCTGTAATTGAAGTGCGAGAAAAACGCTGTGCAGGCAGACCAAGAATATTGCTACCAGGGAAAAACTTAAGCTAACCCAATTTTTTTTTTCCATAGTTAAATTTCTTTCCTTTCATGACTTTTAGAACCGACTATGGTGCTATAGTTTTGTTTCTTTCATGTTTAAGTTTCCTTATCATTTTCTCTGTTTCATGGACAAATTCTCGTATTCCTTGCCCAAGTTTTAGTTCTTTAACCAAAAGACCACTTCCGGAAGCAAAGATGTAATGCACATAATCATCCATATGTTCCAAAGCTCCCCAAAACAGAATTTTATAACATGCATATTAAAATTTCAAACATATATATGGAGCGAGTTTTGACAGCTTAAAATAAGTGTCTAAGAACTCATTCATATTTCAGAGTTACCTTGACTTGGTAAAAACTGATAGCGTTGTTGAAAATTTTGGTGATTATTGCGTTTCATTGAGTTTTCATCCAAACTGCAATAACTTAGTACAAGTATTTGAACAACTGAAGCTAATTTATGATTGCAATAGTTAGGATTATCACTAAACTAGCACCTTTAATAATAAGAGAACAGTCACTTCAATTGAATTTATCATTTTAACATCAGCCACACTTTTTAGAACAACCCAGTTTCTTTACTTTGACTCAAGCGAGTTTTAGAATTTCAGTGTAAAACAACTTTGTAGATTTCCATCCAAGCCTTGAATTTTCAATCATTGGTTAAATTGAAAAATATAAATATGATTTTGGCAGATAAATCTCAACCTGTATGTGAAGAGGGTGGGCAGAGGACAGACTTTGATCATTTTTTCGATATCACTGCAAGGGTTGAAAATCTTCAAGTGATCCAATCTGATTTCCACGATATCGGCTCCCTTCGACTTAGCCTTGTGCATCAAATCCACCATTTGATCTACTGTGTCAGCCATTAATGGTGCGCATATCAAAGCTTGATTCCTCCTAATCCCCTCCCCACTCTCCATGGTCTTCAAACCAGATTCAACGGCCTGAAAAAAATCCTAAATTTAAATCAGTTCAAAAACTAGTTTTTCTTGGCTGAGACTCGAGAAAAGAAGAAAACATGATCTTTCTTTGAGGGGTCAAGAACTAAAGTGAAGTGTAGGTAGATTTGATTGTTGGTATACTTTCAATTCTTTAGAATTTTATCAACTTTCTGTTCTTGATATCAATCGAATACCAGAATCTAAAACTACAGGAATCAAATGGAACAATGAGATGTCAAAACAGAAAAGAAAACCAAACCTTCCAACCAAAAAACTTTGTCGGGCAAGTTAGAAATGCAATTATTTATACAGGGACTTAAGAAAATCAATTAAATTCTTTTATTTTCAAGTAATAATCAGCAGACAAAATGTCCCAAAACAATGCGAGCAAATTAGTTTGTCGAAAGCTTACAAATTCCATGTGTAGCCTATGCAGGGACGGAAGTTGCTATAATTTGGCAGACAAACAGCCAGTATTTAAAGAGGGTGGCAAATGTGTGTGGATGCTATATACAACAGATGGATTGGATAAATGAATGAATGAAGCGGCAGAGAAGTCTTTGAAAAGATTGTGGTTTTTGGATGGTTTAGTGGGATAGGGATGGTGGTGGTGGCCGGAGTTGGTGAGGTAATTTATCGAAGTGTGTCTTTATTCGTCGTACGAGTCCATTCGCTTGTCGATATTTATTGAAATTACATTTTTCACTGATGAGCTGGGCTTGTGAGTCATTGGTGAGCCGACTCACACACGAGCCGCTCATAACTGCTCACCTTTAACACAAACTTACAAGTGGTCCTCCCCACTAAAACTTCTATGGTAGAAAAAAACAATAAAGTCCCCACACTCCAAAATTTTACTTTTATTTGGGTCTCATTCTTTCAATAAAATATCTTTAGACGTAAATTCAAATTTTTTCTTTACTTTTTAAACACACATTTTGTAAAAAATACTACTATATTACCAATCTTGCTGTATGTACGCTCTTGTTTGGTACACATTCTTTCAAAATATATTATTTCAAAATTCATTTTCAATCATATATTTTTCAATAAAATAATATTTTTCATCACATCAATAATTTTTCCTTACTTTTTAACCACGTATTTCTCATCATGTCACTATTTAAAATATATTCTTTCCTCAATATTATCTATCAAACATATCCTATATCCTGATCTACATTATAGTTTACCAAATTACAAAAGCACAATCTTTCACATCTCACACATTTGATTCAACCATTATGCAAAACGAATTTTGTTCCATCTTTGATCACCGATTAAATGTGCGATCTAGCAATTGTTTGACCTTAAATAAGTCTCTTTCGCTAGAAAGAAAAATTAGAATGATTGATTTAAGAACTCAAAACGGCCTTTTGCGCAATCACATTTCAATTCATCGGGCAAATTAATGTTATACGTGAAATTGAAACATAAGAAAACGAACTACCAGAATACGATGGTAGAAAATCAAGATTCGAGTTCATCACTAGTGTCTCCGAACAATTGCCTCCCACAAAAGAATAGATTTTGTTCCTCAACTCTCGTCATAAAAAACGAACGACGAACTAAACTTTTTCTGATTTTTGAACCGAACTTCAAACCAAAAATAAGAAACGACCAGTTCTAGAAGAGATGATTTCAAGAACTAAAGAGAATAAACAATCTGAAAATTGGATAACTTTGCAAAGAAGAAGCTCTATTTATAGCATTTAGATGTGGCCATTTGTCCAAAGGCCATAACTTTTCAAAGGTTGGATCTTTTGGCAAAATGTGGGAGAGAAGGCTAAAACTTTCCAAATGAAGAGCTGATGTGCCAATTCTGAAAGTTCAAGAAGACAAAGCATTCTGAAATTTTCCACATCCGAACTTAAATTCTTGCACAAAACCAAATGAATTCTTATAATATCATAAATGAGTCCATCAACGAAATGAAAAGGGAAAAAAGATAAGATTAAACCCTTAGGGGTCATTATGAAAGCAAACGAAACTTCATAAATATGTGCTAAGGAACTTCTCGGGCAAATCTACACCCCTAAATTTTCACTTCAGTTTTTCAAGCCTTTTTAGCCTTGAGGTTCTCGATCATATCAGCTGCTTCTTGAACAGTGGTGATGGTCTGGGCACTTTCTTCTTCCACACTGATCCCGAACTCTTCCTCCAGTCCCATGACAATCTCAACCTAAACATGGCAAGATTTAAGCCAATAATGACGTTAAAAGTAGGTTTCAGTTCAAATATATAAATAACCAAAGATCATGAAAAACTAAGTTCAAATCATTACAAAGATAAACCATTTCTGCAGCAAAAAATTAAAAATAAAAAAATGAATTGAGAGAGAGATTGACAAGTACTAATTTTTACTTAACACAAACTAACACTTGATAGATTGTTGGTAATTGTATAGTACTGGACACTATTAAGGAAGTCATGTTAAGAATCTTGTCCATTGTTGTTTAGTATTACTTACCAAACACGCCCTTACAGTTAACCAGTGGCAAGTGTAACATTTCCAGTCATTTCGAATACATTTTTAAGCAAACCACAGAAGCAAGCATCAAAAAGGAATTGCTATCAAGCAAAGGAAATTAAATTGAAAAAGGATAAGAATTTGCTATTCAACTATATACATAGGAAGAACACTAGATGAGCAAATAATATTTCTATAATGAAAAATAAATAATACCGTGTCAAGGGAATCGGCACCAAGTGATGCAAACTTCGACTCTCCAGAGACGGCAGAATCGGCAGGGAGAGCAAGTTGCTTCCTCACAATTTCACACACTTTTTCCACTGTCTCTGGTTTGGCCTGCTCAAAGAACCATTTAGAATTATCGGTAACCTCGTTTGATTCTCTTATATTAATGCTGCATATATCCATTTAAAAGCTACATTAATAGATTAACAATAAAAACCAATTTTATCGGTACTCCATGTTCAATAAGGTGGATTAGATAGTACAAGAACAGTATCTTGTTAATTGTCATGTCGAGTATTGAACACCAAATATACTCTTAGAATCTTGTCACTTTCAAGAGCTTGCAAATATACAATATTGTAAACCCTATCGACTGACTTAAAGAAAATCTAACAAAAGTATCATTCCTGAGATGTGTAATTTCGCTATAACAAAGAATCTCGTTTTGGCCACAAGGGAAGTGAATTGTGAGGAGAGAATTTTCAACTTGAGATGTATCAACTCCAAAGGCTGGATTAATTACACAATGTTAACAGCATATAACAATGGAATTAAAGAATGGAGTCTCCGACCACCTAGAGAAATGCAAAATAAGACAACTACTACTTATGAGGCTAAAAAAGGACAATCAAAGTTTTAATTCTGACAAAGCATGTTTGGCTAAGCATAAATGCTTACAAGTAAATAAGTTTTAAATAAACAATTTTTTGCCTATCAAAATTGATAAGGTAAGTCGCATATTTTGAGAGTATGGTAGGAGTTAATTTCAGGAAAAAAAAAAAGTAACCTTCTTTACAAGTAAGGAAAAAAAAAAGGCAATATTTAAACATCTATGGAAAACATTTTACCTTTTTTTTTTCTTCTTTTTTTTACTTAGCCAAGCATGCTCAAACTTGAATTCCCTAAAACTTTTCCCCTCTCCTTGAATGGAGGAGAAAATTTGAGTGCCATACAAATGATGGATGCAAAAAACAATTACTACGCATTCTATGCATAGTTATATATCCCCATTTTGCAATGAACCGTGCTACTAGAAACTCATGCAAGAAGCCAATAAATAATTAAAAATGTAGATTGCAAATAGGTTGAAGAATATACAACAGCAAAAATCAACATACCGCACAGGCAACGCGGAAACGTGAAGGCTGCAACCTAAGAGATGGGAAGCTCGTCCCACTGAAAGAAAGTGAAACCTTCTTCAAATTCGAGACCTGGACAATAAAAAATACAAGATCGCTGAAACCAAGAGAGTAATAACAAATCGATACTACATTGAGGTTAGGAAACAGTAATGAATGAAATTACTCATAGTGTTTCGCTGACAATCTTTAGCTAAAAATGAGGAAAAAAACATAAACATGAGAACTTACGAGGTTGCTAGCATGTTCTACAGTCAAGGACAAACCAACACTCAGAACTTAAAAATCTTGTAAATAGGAACACATAAAATCGTTTAAGTACAGAATCTATAAAAATTTTCAAAATGCATCAAAATGCCCCGAAACATGGGTAGCAAGAGCTTAAGTGTCTAACATATAACCTCAAATTTCAAATTTTCTAAGCATAAAATCGATACGTCAAAAATCCCAAAACATAAGCTCGACAAATAAAACAAAAACTTGTTAACCATTACAAAGATTTTAAATTTTTAACACACAATCAATTAAAATATCTCGATTAACAAATTAAGATCAAGAACATCCATAAGATCAAAAACCCACTTAAAAAACATTGGATTTTAAACTTGAAAATAAATAAATCAGATAATTAACAGCTAAATAACAACAAAAACATATGGCCAGAGACGGAGGCGGAGACCATAAAGATTCATAATAAACCTTAACCTACTCAAACAGATTCAACATTTAACCAGAAAAAATACATTAAACAAGAAATATAATAAGAATGTAACCTGGTTTTGCTTCAGAGAGCAAGGAACATGGAACGAAACAGAGGAAGTAGTAATGGAAGCCATTAAAAAATGGATCTGAAAATGGGAATGGAGAAAGATAAAGGGTGGCGGAGTGAACGAGGATAGGGATGAAGGAGTGAGGAATAAAGGAGGGGAGGGGGGTGTGATTTTATTGACAATTCTTCCGTTGTTTGTTTGTTCGTATATTGGTTACTT